AAGCTTTAATGTAAAGTTGCGCACTTTATTACTACTACTACTTATATATAACAAGCTTTAGTAGTTGTAAACTCTAAGTAATACCTTAAAACTTAGGTTATAATTAATACTTATAAAAATAAAAATTTAAAAGTATATAAATAGTTTACTAACTTCTATAGTTAAAGTGTTTAAAAAAGTTTTAAAAAAAGTAGTAATAATTATGCATAAGCTAGTGTTAGTGTAATAAAAAATTACTAAGCTTTAAGTAGCTAATAAGGCTACTATATAATATAAATTACATAAAAAAAGTAGATTAAGGTAGAAAAAACCTTAATAATTTAGAAAAGCCTATGCTTAACAGCTCTAAAGAAGTTTAAAGCGCGCAGTAACAGGAAAAAGGTAAAGAAGCAGGTGCAAGCTAAAGTAGGTAAGCTATTCTAAAGGCGCTGCAAATAGTGTAATTAGACTAGGCATAACACATAAACATGTAAGCAAGAAGCAGAAGTAGTATCTAAATAATATTCTTAGCTGTACTATACTATATAGTGCTAGAGCAGGTTGTTATGGGCCATAATAGAGTTTGTTAGGGTGGGGTCTTAGCAAAAGTAAGCGACTCAGGTGTGTGAGCAACTCGCCTGTGAAGTACGTTATATAAAAAACATTATAGATAGCTATAGCGTGTTATAAGAAAAGTTTTAAGTTTTATTTAAAAGCCTAAAGAGTAAGCTATATTTAATATTCTTTAGAAGATTTAATCTAGTGTTATTGTTAAAGCATTATGTAGATAGGTAGAGTGTAGTAGAGGCTTAGCAAAAGTAGCTAGCTAACCTATGTAGCCGGCTAACCTGTTAGGTACGTTAAATGCTATTTAAGAGGAAATTCTTTGCATATATAGCTTAAGTATAGTTTTAATAATTACCTACTTCTTTTTATTACCTAGCCTTTATAATTTAGCTGTAGAATTAGCTTATAAATATTATCTAGTGCTATAGTTATTTATTATTTTTTATAAGACTTTACACATAGCTATAGCACATTTCTTTAAGAGTTTTATGTCTTGTTTAAAAGCTTAGAGTGTAAGCTATATCTAACATTCTTTTAGCACATCTAAGTAGTGTTATAGAGAATGCATTAGTGTAGGAAGAGTAGTTTAGTAGGGTCTTAGTAAAAGTAAGCAACTTAGGTGTGTAAGCAACTCGCCTGTAAAGTACGTTAAGACTTCCCCTATTAAAAGAACTAGGTATAGAAAGAATGTGTAATATAATAATAGTAGCCTTTAATAAGACTATAAAGTATCTATATATATAGCTATTAAAAAAGACTATTATAGCTAAGAAATTTATATATAAACTTAAATAAAATATAGTTTTAGTATATAAATGTCCTAAGGTTATTATCTCTAACAAAAATAAGCTATTTACTAGTAAGTTCTAGAAAGCAGCTATAAGGCACTTTAGTATAACGCACAAGTTATCTATAGTGTACTACTTATAAATAGATAGTTAAACTAAGCAAGTAAACACTAAAGTAGAAAAATACCTAAGAAAATATGTTTTCTATAGTTAAAATAACTAGGTAGAGTAGCTCTTTATAGCACAGCTTGCTATTAACATAGTAGAATCTGTTATAATCTATTATAACTAAAGAAACACTGTTTAAAGCTAATTTTAGCTACTACCCCTACTTTATATTACATAAAAATTAGCCTATAAACTTACTAAAGTTAATTAACTAATTATTAAGCTTATAAAGTATATATAATAAGTTAGCAATTAAAGCTAAATCTAGTTAGAAGATAATAGAATAATATGTAAATAAAACATAACAACTTAGACTAGAGATCTGCTCTAAAGACTATGTATACCTTAAAATAAAAAACCTTAAGACACCTAGACTCTCTAGAAAGCTAGTAAAAAGAAAAATAAGACTTTATAAAGTTCTATAGACCTAATAAAACAACTATAAACTAAAGCTTTCTCTGCACATAAACATACACTTATAGTTCTATGTCTCTAAGCTAGAGAAAGCACCTAAGGAAATTCCCTTGTCTATATAAGAATAAAAGAAAATAGAAATAGAGTATAAAGTAAAACAGATTATTAGTAATTAAAAAATTAAAAAAATAAAAAAATAAAAAAATAAAAAAATAAAAAAATAAAAAAATAAAAAAATAAAAAAATAAAAAAATAAAAAAATAAAAAAATAAAAAA